CTCTCCTCTGTCCCCGCAGTGTGCTCCAGGAGGGTGCCTGATGGAGTTGTGTATCCAGCTCAGTATTATCATGTTGGGCAAGCAGCTGATCCAGAACAATTTGTTTGAGATTGGCATCCCGTAAGTAGCAACTTCTGTTCGTTATTTTTTTTTTACTGTTGTGCCTGTGAATGTAAAATAACTGAGAAATGAGCACTGTGTGACCAGAATGGAATGCTCAGCGAATCATTTCTGTTTTCCCCAGGAAAATGAAGAAGTTTATCCGATACTTGAAATTGAAGCGTCAGCGTTCTCTAGACCATGAAGAGCACATGAAGAAAAAGCAGCGTTATGAAGTGGACTATAACCTRGAGCCCTTTGCTGGACTCACCCCTGAGTACATGGAAATGAGTGAGTGAGGTGGAAAGAAGGCATTTGAAGCCATAATTATTGTGCCTAATTGGGATGGAGAGCTGAGCGTTTTGAACAGTGCATTCAGCAGACAGTGGATATGAGATGACTGAATTATTAATGTGTTCCAGCCACCCCTGGCTGCTGCAGGGCTGGATTTTGTGCTCTCTGCTGCTCACAAGCCCTTACTTTAGCACAATATTTTAGATATTTTTCTTTCAAGCCATGTGACACATCACTGTCAAGTTTCAAATGCAAATGATTAAGTGGCATCTACTTGAGATTGTGAGGCATATTTTACCATCAGTTAAACCCCACACTACAAATAAGTTAGTTCAGATTTTATCATTTCCACACCAGAGTCTTACTTTTTTTTTTTCTTCTTATACCTGAACCAAATCTTCTGAGAGCAATGCAAGTCTGTGGACCCGGTTGTATTTGACAGATCACATAGATTTTTTTTTTTTTTTCAAGTAATATCTTACATTGAGTGAGACAAATTAGAATATGTGGTGACCTTGATGTTCAGAGTACTTGAAGCAGATGGGAATTCAGTGGTACAAACCACAGGGTCATGCTGCCAGTTCCTAAAAATAAAAGAAGATGCAGTTACTGAGATCAGCATTTGGAAGTAACTGAGGAGGAGAAAGATGGGCACTGGCAGTACCAGGATGAGCATGAGATCCATGCAGAAAGCAAACATGATCCCTGGCTATAGGAAGCAAGTTATTCCTGGTAGAGGCAGAGAAGCAGCCACATCCTTTCTGGAGCTTCCAGTGGGATTGGTGAAGGCCAAAAACCTGCCAGGTGTAGCGTGGCAAACTGAGATAGAGCCAGTGTGGTCACTGCCATATCCCACTCCTTCAGGTGACTCCTGTGCTGGCCTTGCCCATGGAAAAATTCCTTCAGGAGCTTCCCCATCCTTCTGGTTACTTTTGCCTTGCCTTTGCAAGGTGGCAACACTCTCTTCCTTGAACAAATGGGGCAGCCGTCGTGCACACTGTGCCTGACACAGAAAATGGGATTGAGTCTCCCAGAATTTGTCACCTTGTCAGAATTTGGGRGCTGGCACGGATGTGGTGATGGGTGCATTTGGAAGTACTGACAAACAGGCACTGAAATGGTTTCTTTGTCTTTCCAGTTATCCAGTTTGGGTTTGTAACTTTGTTCGTCGCCTCCTTCCCGCTGGCACCTTTGTTTGCTTTATTGAACAACATCATTGAAATCCGTCTGGATGCCAAAAAATTTGTTACTGAGCTGAGGAGACCGGTAGCAGTGAGAGCAAAGGATATAGGTAAGGGGATATTGCTATTGTATCCCTGTTTGTTTATTCCTGGGCTGATGGCAGGATACTGTTATGCTGAGCTGGTTTCAATAACAGGGATATTTATAGGGGAAGTCAAAACAATCGACTGTGGCTTACCTGTGAATTGTCATAATTTATCAAGGCTTTCCTTTTAAAATAGGAAGACCAGGGCTTTAAATTCAGATGAATATTTTATTAAGTAAACATTATCACTTTTAAAATCAAAACGATCAATGAAATAGCAAAATATCTCGCCCGGTTTCTGACATCAACAGCCATTCCTGGCAATGCAGTTTTCTAGCAGAAGCAAAAATTTCCACATTTAATAACTCTGGCTGGCCTCAGAAATACCCTTGGGAAGGAGAGGAGACTCAGRAGTCCGTGGGTAAATGTATCCCTTTGTCCCAACTCAGCAGGAATGTCAGGAAACTGCAGAGGATGGAGCTGGAAAGGGCTCTGTGGCTGTGTGGGGACAGCAGCCCAGCCCTGCCCTGCCAGGRACTGACACCTGAGTGTTTGTCTCCCCAGTGCTGGCTACTTGTGACTAAAAAGGTCATCAAAATAAAAATGARAATAGAAATAATTGTCCTTGTTACAGGCCCAGGCAGCAAGAGCAGAGAAGTTTATCTGTTACTAAGCTCTGGCTTCATTCTACTGCGGGACAGGCAGAGCTTTTCCTTGGGYTCATCCTTATGCCCTAGGATCATCCTAGGCTTGAAGAACACCTCATGTTTTGCCATGACTCTGCTTTGGGGGTGTCTTGGGGCTCCCTGATTTGATGCTGCATGTTCAGGGTGCTGGTGGAGATAATAGGGAGGGTGATGTTGATTTTTTTTCCTATTTTTTTCCTATTTTTTTTCTACTTTTTTCTATTTTTTCTATTTTTTTTCTATTTTTTTGTGTTGGGGGTTTGATTATTTTTTAGAATTTGTTTCTGAGAAGGTGTTAATTGCAATTCATTGCAGTTCAACTCCACTTTTGAGGGTGGGAGAACCCCACTTTTTTCAGAGACATCCCAAAATCAGACTGTGAGATGGACACAGACAAAACAGACGAGTTTTTTAGCAYAGAATTGGGAAGGGGAGAAGGTCCCACCTGCCTAAGGCAGCAATCACCGACCATGCAGCCTCTGGAGAGGCCCTTCCTTCTCCCAGGAATCGAGCCTGGAGAGGGGGAAGTGGCAGAGCTGGGGGGCTTCATGCAACATCTTCTGACTAAATCCAGAGGGCTTGAACCTGAGTCAGTGTGGGGTTGGCTGGATTTACATTTTGTATGCTCTGAGACAGATTTAAGCAGAACCATAAATCCAACAGCCCAGTATACCCTGCACCCTGTGAGTGGAGGTGGCAGCTCCCTGTCTGTAGCTTCCTTATTCTCCTCAAGAATTTGAGAAGTTTGAATGAAATCTTGGGATGTTTCTTTTTTTCCACCTATGGCACCATTCCTCTCTCTCATATTTGCCTTCCCCTTCCTCAGAGAAGCTTTGAGCTTCAAACCTCAAAAAAAAAAAAAAAAAAACACAAAAAAAAAAAAAAAAAATTAGGTGCCAAAACGCAGTTGAGCTCCCTTTGATTAGGAGCCATTAAATTACTTTTTTTTTTATAATCAGTTCTTTTTCTATTTAAAATATAGTTCTAGTTCAGCACAGTTATACATGCTCTTAACTCTGTTAACTAAAGATGCAATTTATCTTATCTTAGAGACTAGAACAGCATTTACATGTTTGTCTCCTTCCTTAGGAATCTGGTATAATATCCTCAGAGGTATTGGAAAGCTCGCTGTCATCATAAACGTAAGTAAATCAGCATGAATTAARTTTGAATTCAGTAGGCTGGCTTTTCCATTCTGCTCCATGAGTTTTATTTCAGCACAAATCCCTTAAGTCAAGTGAAAGTATATGATTTAGAAATTTTTGGAAAGGTTAGAGAATGAGTTGCTGTGTTTATTTTAAAGCTGTGATAGCAGTAGCAATCATATAAAATAATAAGTAGCCACTGCTGCTTTTTTCCAGAAAGTTTTCATAAAACAGTTTTGCCCTTCAAACAAATAYGACCCCAGCTGCTTGCTTTTACTCTTTTGAAACACAATCAGTAGGATGAGATGTGTTTTTTAATTTCAGTGCTATTTTTGGGTAAGGTGAGAATCAGTGCAGGTCCTCAGAGTGCAGAATCCCTCCACTGAAAATCTGCCCTTGAGCTGATTGCCCCCACTCAGAGAGCTCTGAAAATCCTGAACAGAAATTTATTTCAACATCTCACAAAAATTGAGCAGACTTTAATATATTAATGTACGTACTTATGTACTATTCTATATGAATAGACATCCACAGTGATCATCCTGCTTGCACCCCAGCTGGGGAAGGATGAAAACAAAGGCCAGCTGAAATTCAACGTATTTGCAATGCAGCAAAGCAGGGGCTGTGTAGGGCTTATGGCCACGTGTCCCTGGACTCCCTTGGGGTTTTCTTACATTATCCAGACTTGAAATCCCTTCATTTTGTCCTTGGGGTTCTGTTGTGCTATGGCAAACCCATTCTTTTGGTTGTTTGCTATGCTGCCTTAGTTTGTCTTTCCTCTTTTCCTTTGGAAATAATTTCTCTGTTTTTCTCTTTTGTTCTGTGTAGTCTCTCTTTGTCAGTACCCAGTCTTATTTTTCCCTCTTTGATCAATGTACTGCTCCTCTCTACCATAAAATAATTAAAACATTTTGTACTGTGTTTGTTCCACATGTACATGAGATTTATGCCAGTGGCAATGTTTCACAATAACGATAAATGAGGAAGGCTAAAGTCATGAGGAACTCAGCCCAATTGGCTGTCGAGCCTCCTCTCCACGATCTTTTTAGAAAATTTTAAATAACCGGATGAAGTGCAATTTTTGTGACCATAAAAATAAAACTGGGCTCAGTCTCCTCATCCTTTTATCCTGATGAAGTTAAGAACCACATGCAATTAATGTCCTTTTGCAATGCAATGAGACTTGGAAGAGTCCAATCACCGGCAGTTGCTTGTGGGATGGAGAAGCAGCTGGAAATCAATCAGCWGGACCTTGGGGAAGCTGTGACAAGGACAGGGGGAAGCAGAGCTCTGGGAGCTCTCCTCTGGTGCCAGGGGGTACAGCTGCTCCATTTTTGGGGGCTCAGGTTGTCACCCACACAGACACTTCAGCAGGGATGTGCTCCAGGGAATCTGCTGTGCCTGGGGAGAGCGGGCAGTGCATAATCCCCTGCTGGTGCAGGGAGAGTTCCAACTGCAGGGCCCTCAGCCTCCCATGAGCTGTGGGAGTTGTTTGGGCAGGTCGTGGGTGAGGATGTGATGAAAYGTGGGCTGTGCCAGGATACTGCGTTCACTCTTTACTCTTGTGGCTCAGGCATTTGTGATCTCATTCACATCCGACTTCATTCCACGCCTCGTGTACCTGTACATGTACAGTGAGAATGGCACCATGCATGGCTTCGTCAACCATACACTATCCTCTTTTAATGTCAGCGATTTCCAAGCAGGAACAGCTCCAAACGACCCCCTGGATCTGGGCTACGAGGTTCAGATATGCAGGTACTCTCTTGAACCATCACTCATACGAAGTGTTCTCACAGCTGGCTAAGAATGTAATCAGTTTTTACATTCCTGGGACAGGTCTCTTGTATTTTCATACCGTTTTTAGCACCTTTTAGATCAGATGGATCCATTGCCTTGCACATCTTGGCTTACATATTAGGGAATCACAAAATCTGAACATGGTTTACTGCTTATTTGAGGAAATGGAGATTAGCAATAGTAAAATTCAGTGCTTGGCCATGCAAAGATTTTTATTATTTTGTGTTCCCTTCTCCTGGAAAGGAGACAAATAATGATAAACAGCACAGTGATGCTTTAAGGGAAGAAAGTTATGTCACTCTGATGTCATGTCATGCTACTGATATCATGACCATGACCTCTTTTTTTGTCCAGTTCCCAATTCCAGATGAGAGCACCAACATCCTTATCTGCACTGGAACTTAGGACTTACTAGAAGTGTCATCACMTAAGAAATTTGCATGCTTGTGATAATTTCTATATATTCCTTTMATGTTTAAAGTAAAATTATTGTTGCCTGTTTCAGCTTATGAAGGAATGCTGAAGTGCACACTGTGCCCAGGCTTCTTTGGATAGGTTTTAACACTTAGAATTGGGTTCCAAATCCAAATCTGACAGTGAAAGCACTTAGACCAGCAAAGCTGAAAGGGGACAGTGGAGGGAGGAAAAGGGAGAGGAGAGCAAGGAGGGAAAAGACATTCCAGGGGAGAAAAAGCTGAAAATGACTTTGATACACACATCCTATATAATCACAGGAACTGACCAAATAAAAAWCCTTGCCTTTGAATCATGTTATTTTATATTATATTCTTTATGCATTTGAATAGTGCAATTAAAATGATTAAATTACCTCCAAACAGAAAATTCACTCGAAGCTGAAAGCAAAACCAACCCAAGTTGCATTTGTAGTAGCTTTGCTCACTTTCACTTTCTCCTGGTTTCCTCTTGCTGCTCTCTGGGCAGAGGTTAAACAAGGTTGGCAAACATGTTCCAGCACAGAATGGGAGTGTCAGCGTTGCTGTCCAATACCAAAATGCCAGATTTATTTGCTTTCCACTCCCAGCTTCTATCTTCTTCCCATCCCATCCGTATTCTGAGGATTCTAAAATCATTTGAAAATGCAGAGCCCTCATTCTTTCAAAATATTGACAGAATGCTGGGGTTTCGAATTCAATATATTTTTCTTGGTCTGTTTATCAACACATAGATTTTCTGTAAGCCACAGCTAGGAAAAGTTCTCTCCACATGGCAAAATTTAACTTCAGTCTTTTGCTAATCATATGGTAAACACGTTCTATGAATCTGAGATCCATATTTTTGTCTTTAAAAACAGTTTGAAAAATATATATTGTCTTTCTACCTGTCTTAAAATAAAATAAATCACCTCAGCTATTTAGTTTACTCTGCCTTATGCAAAATTGATGCAATTTGTACTAATCAGAGGGGATTAAGAAGTATTAACCTTTAATTTTGAGTAAAACTGGAAGACTATGGGAGAATTCCAGCTGGGTCTTGTTTCTGAGAGGTTGATACAGTGAACTTTCTCATAGTTCCATTTATGGTTTGACAGTTTCTTATTAATTCCTTCTGGTGCTAAAATTTCTGAATTACTGAGTCTTGCTTTGCAGGTACAAAGATTATAGAGAACCCCCCTGGTCTGAAAACAAATATGACATTTCAAAGGATTTCTGGGCTGTCCTAGCAGCAAGATTGGCATTTGTGATTGTTTTCCAGGTAGGTTCTATTGCAGGCACTTGGAAATAAGTTTTTAAGCCAAAGAAATGTCTTCTTTCTCAGTTGTTTCATGGAAAAACCAAAGAAATTTGCCCATCTCCATCACCCTCTTTGTCCCACCCACCCAGGCATTGGTATAGCCTCAGTGGAAAAATTCATCCCCAGGGATTCYCTGAACTGGTTTGATGCAGAAGAGCTTAATGACCTTAGAGAGCAGCAAAGCACAAGGCTGATATTAATTAGGTCCCATCAATTTCTCCCATAGGACATCAACAGTTTCACTGAGGCAGCATAAATTTAATACAAAATCATTTTCAGAGCTAGCCAAGAAATGAGATTTCCAAAATTTTCCTATTTAAAAGTTTAACTTGCATCTGAATGAGAAGGCAAATCTTGTCATTTTCCCTTAAAATACATTATTTAATCTCAATAGTGATGCTGGTTATTGTGGCACAAGTGTTTTAAGTCTGCCTTACCTGAATAACTTGTGTCAAAACTTTTGGGGTTTTTTTTKGKTTTWAAAAAATCACRTTTTTGAGAAAGACCTCCCTTTCCTTGAATTAAGATTTTTCAACCAGAAACATTTAATTGAAACATATTTTACCAAGTTTTACCACTTTATTTTCCTCTGCGTTCCTGATGTAAATCTCATGAGCCATTTACCAATGACAAATTTCTTGGGATTTGATTTCCTCAGGATTTGTACATAAATCAGAGAGGTCCATGCTTGATGTATTTCTCTACTTCTAGTATGCACAAAGATGTAGGGGAATTTGGTCCAGTATTCCAACTCAAATATTGTCCCTTCTTCATTTTTCCTTCCTAAGTGCACYGAAATCATCCCCTCTCCCYGCAGCCACCCTTCCAWTTGGCCTYACTGACRCTTTCTCACSACTTCACTTTCAGAACCTGGTCATGTTTATGAGTGAATTTGTCGACTGGATTATCCCAGACATTCCCAAGGACATTAGCCAGCAGATTCACAAGGAGAAGGTTCTCATGGTGGAGGTCTTCATGAGGGAAGAGCAGGGGAAGCTGCAAATGCTGGAAACCTGGAAAGACAAGGACAAGAAAAAAGGGGAGAACTGCAACAACCACAGCCCCAGGCTCTCCAGGAGCCGCAGTGGGAGCTTGTCCTCCTGCCATTCCTATCCTCTGGACGTTTAGAAGAGGAGGGAGCCGAGTCTGTCGGGGCATTCCAGAGACAAAGCTGCGGCGCCGGGGGCAGGACTCCGCTGAYGGACACCCCGGTGCATGCTGAGGGATGTGCTGCCATTTCGCTCTCACCTGGCTGGGAAATGCCCTTCTTGCAAACATGGAGGACCACGTTCTATTTCTGACTATGTTGGGTTTTTCTTTTCTTTTGCACAAGCAGTAATGCAGGGAGTTTTTATATTTCTTCCATAGGTAACACTATCGACGTCGGTGTGCATTCAGAAATGCAGGTACTTGGGACGTCTTGCTAGAGGTATTCTCTGAGAATTTGATCTTAGCCTGTTAATTAGCTAATGAAATAAAGGTAAATTTGAAGTCATGATAATAAAAATAATAATGCTAACTCRAACTGTTTTCGGAAGCCCAGGCTGSAAGGTCCATGGGGTGACTCGATCAAGGATATGCAAAATCAGCCCAAGTGTTCCATAAGGCCARCCAGACTGCCTTGGCTGCCGAGGCTGGGTTTAGCTCTGTGGATCTGAGCTTTGGGGTCACAGGGGCGTGGGGGCCACCTGTGGCAGCTGCAGTGTCCCCCAGAGCCTGGAGGGGACCTGGGGCACCCTTTTCTGGCAGCAGCAGCAGCAGCACAGCTGAGAGGTGCTGGCAGCGGTCCCTGGGTTCAGTTCTGTTCACACCCACAGTCTGTGAGCACACCAAGAGCTCCGGGGGCTCTCCCTGCCCTGCCAGGATTTCCCCATCACCCTCTGGAGCAGGAGGAGGGAGCCTCCTGTGCTCCTGCAGACTTTCTGCTGTTGGCTGCCATTTGCCAGAGGCAGAAATCCCAAACATGTCCCACTGTCTCCAGTGGAAGCTTTGCCTGCACWGGGGCTACAGGACCAGACCTTCAGTTAGTTACGGGACTTTTCTTTTGTCTTAAAATCCTCTCTCTTTTGTACAAGGAGCTTTTCCTTAAAGTATAAGTCTGAAATCCTTACTTACCACCACTAGTTAAATCCCATCAGTACAGCTCTTTTTAAGCATAATGCATTTTAGTTTTGCTTTGTYGACCGATAAACTGCACTTCCAAATAATATTGGTGCAATTAGCCTAATTTCTTTTATTGCKTTGTCTTGTCCGTGGCACTTGCATTATAAAATCAAAAAAGAAAATAAAAATGAAAGATTTCTTTAAAGTCTAACTACTGTATGGTTTGTTACAAAACCAAACTGTTTTCAAGAGAAKTTAGTTATTTCTTTTTTTCTTTCTTTTTTCTTTGCCAAACTAATTTAAAGATTAATGCTAGAACTCTAAAAAATGCCATATATAGCTTTTGATATATTTATTTGTTTTAAAGTATGTGATAAACTTGATATTTTTCTGTAGTCTGTCCAAAGAAGGTACCAGAAGAGAAATTATGTAGAAGAAAGAAAATTGTATGAACCAAATATTCATGAGGCTTATTTAAAATATTGATCCAACCAAAGATTTTTATTAATAAAGGGCTTATATTTTGTTAACTCTTGTTTCTGTTGTATTTTGACTTGCAGGAATGTCACTATTTTTGAAATTTGTAATTTACGATAAGAGTGTTGCTGTAGGGCCAAATCCTGCCCGATTTATTCCCACRTCAATGTTACGCCTGGTAGTAAATAAATGTTTACCAGATCAGGCCCACTGACTGCAATAGGACTGGGAGTGGGGATAAATKAAGCAGAATTCTGTCCACACATTTTGTTGGAAACCTGTTCTTCCTCTCATTCCTTGGTAATTCAAAAGATCCAGGAGAAAGCCAAACGTGAACTACCTATTCTGAAGAGAAACCTTAGGGATTGTCCTCAAAGGGGATTTAATCTGTAAATACTCACCTGAAAGTGTTCCCAGCTTAATACTGACATTCCTGTAAATGGTAGAACCRTATCCTGAACACGTACTTATCTGAATTTTTCATTATTTGCTGAAATCATGGAATAGTAACGTTGCTTATACTTTCTTTTGTACAGTAAATTGTTTTAAATGGAATTTTGTATATAAAAATCTGTATTACTGCTTAGATATCTATAAAATTCTTTCATGGAATCATTTTTTTAAGAAAAGCAAATATATACTAAATCTGTTTTATTTTGGTTTTTTTTTCCTTTTCCTTCAAACATTTATTCAAAATAAACTTAAATATCCAAGAGTTTCTCCTGTGGGACAGGTTCTGTTCCCAACCCTCCTTGTGCTCTGAGTGCACAGACATCTTCCTAAAAATGTCACRGGTAGGACCTGGTGTTGGAGCTGCTTTAGAGCCCCACTTGGAGAWGAGTGAATCACACCCAAAATGCATTTTCAAGAGCACAAAGGGAGTTTTTGGCTGCTTTTTGACCTATGGACACTGAGTATGAAATAAAGGATCYTAGCCTGGGAGCTTTCCTTTTCCTCTGATCTAATCTTAGGCATTTAGCAGAATGTGATATGGAGGGGCTTTAACTGAGATGTTTGAAATGGGCCTGTAATGAGGAAGAATGTTGTTTGCTTTGTTTCTCTTTGAATTAGAAAGTGGATTCATTATTGAGAATGAACTGGTGAAATGAAAGGAGTGAAACCAGCAAGTTCTTTGCCCGTTTCTTGCTGAGTTCAGCTCTGAAGGGAGGCAGAATGGCTCCACTGTGGCTGTCACATTTCCATGGCCCTGAGTCGGCTGTCCAAGCAAAGCTGGGCTCAGACTCTCACCTGCTAATTGCAGTTTTTTTCTCTTCTCCCATTTAACTGTTCGGTGAGAAGGCAAAGCACGAGAATTCATGCCAATCCTTCTTTCCTTGACAGAAAATACAAATGCTCCGAGCCACAAAATTTAGTTCTAAGGTGGGAATGGTGCCCTGAGAACACCATAGACAGGTGAACCTCATTGGGAGCTGTGTGGGTTTTTGTCAGTTCTTAAAGATAAAACAATACACAGGAGCTCATTAGATATAAGATCATGCCTCCCACAAAAAGACTTCCACTCCAGTTGTGGTACTTTTCCTGGAAGTTTTTTTTCATATTTGGGATGCAGAAAAGAAACGTTTGTTTTTACCAACAGCACATTTGAGGCAGGATTATGCTAATAAGGATTTACTGGAATAGAGAGGATGGAAAAAGGAAACTTAGAGCAGCAGGGATCTGTGATCAAAGTGACCCTGTGGACCAGGTTTGATGGAGAGCAAACCAATCATTTTATTTGTGCAAATACAGCTGAATTCTCTGTTGGAATGACAGCGTGCCCCCTACCCACATTCAGCCTGCTCTTGGCATGCTTCTGCCCCAAAACCACAGGCACAAAACCATTTCCCAGCCCTGCTTCAATCAAAGAAAAACTCTCAAACTCAATATATGAAAGAGGAAAGGCATGACACCTGTTTGCTTGGTCCAGGAGGAAACTCAGAGCAGGGAGGAGATTCCTGCTGGCAGTGGCTCCGTGAGCATTGCTGAGCCACTGCTGAATCCCTGTTTGTTCATGGCCACCCCATCCGAGGAGRAAGTGGAACCCACCCCACTGTGCTGCCAGCCTGAATCTCCTGGATTTCCATGGCATTGTGTTTCCAAGATACTGCCCCACAAATATTTTGCAGTCTTAAATAGCTTCAGGGTGAATAAGGCTCACATCAAGGCACGGACACATTTCTATTTTTAAACCTCCCATGCTCTCTGGTCCTGAGCTGTTAATGATCTTTTTGGCTGTTGTGATTTCCAATAAGCAAKAATCATTTCCTTTTCACCTTGATTCCTCAGGAGTCTGACCTCTTCCAGAGCTCCGTAGATCACTTGAGTGCTGAATTCACTTGAGTGAAATTTATCTTTTCCTGTGGAGTTTTCAGAGTAAACAACTTTTCTTCCTTTTGCCCCTGAAAAAACCCTATTTTAGAATTTATATGAATTCCATTCAAACTCTGGTTCAATTCTTTGCACATTCAAGCACTATTTATTCCATGACCAAACATAACATGCCATTTTTAGTATAGCAGAGAAAAACCAAAGTTCTTTATTTAACCTTCTTTTTTTAGCCCAACAGGCCTTTCTGAAGAAAAACTAACTATGAACGTGGCTTGTTTTGAATTTTAACTCTATCCTTAWTTTTTAAGGCCAAGCAGGCCACCTGAAGCCAAAGAAAATATTTCCACTGATTCCATTTGACTTCAGCATGCTTTGCATGAGGTTAAACATTACTTATTGAGTGACTGGTTTCCCTTTGAATAAAATAAAAACTCCTGGAAGTTTTTGTAGGTTACTTTTCTAACCCACAGTGTCAGCTAAAGCCAAAATAAATCGATGAAAMTGTGTTGTCAGAGCTGTAAAGAGTTGGGTGCACCATTGTGCTAGTTTCCAGGAGTTAAAGTCCTTGGAAAATCCAAGAAAGGCTTGGAAAATTGAAGAAGATTGAAGATTTCTAAGTAATAGCTTTCATCTTGCTTAGTAACATCTCTGTAAAAAAAATCATGCCAAAGTGGAAAACATATCTGTCCAGGTGACCATAAGAAGAAAGAATGAAAACACAAAAATTTTAGCAGACTGCTTGTGCTAAACAAGTTCAAAAGTGTAAAAAAGTCCATTTATAAGAGCAAGAGGAAGAAGAAAAAGTTATTCCCTAYTTTTGTTGCTTAATTAAAAAACAGTAGTTCTCTTCTCCAGTTGAAATATGAGACAGAGCTGAGCAAAAGGTGCAAACAAGGGAAGGGAGGAGGCAAAGGCTTTTGCCTGCTGCTCTCAGACCCGGGTTAGCTGGCAGGTCAGCCACGGGAGTGGTTTTCTGGACAGAGGATGGATTCCCAAGGATTGCAGGTGGGTTTTGGGGCAGCCCTTGTCATTGTTCCCACTGCCCTGTGTCCTCTCATCATGCCAAGCCAGGCGATGCCGCAGGTCTGGGGTGGAGGTGGAGGATGGGAGGTTTTGGTCCTGTGGGAGGAACAGAGCTCATGAGCCTGGAATTCCCATCTGTGCCGGCAGCAGCGTGTAATTACAGGAGCAGCTCACATTTCTCAACATATTAATCTTCAAAATCCATCTGCAGGTAAAGAAGGATTGCAAGTAATTAGCCATCAAGTGGGAAAGGAATCCGTCTCAGCAGGCCAGACAGTTCCAGGGTGTGCATTGTCAGCAAGCTGGTGGGCTCCAGCTCCTGGAATTGTTCAGGCATTTTACTCTTCTCAGGCCCTGCTGGGAGTGGAAAAGAGGAGCTGTGAGCAGGGAAGGGMCAGTGAAATTCCTGTGAGTAAATCAATGTGAGCTTCAGCTCCATCCCTATCCYGTCCTCAAAGGGCAAAAGAAGTAAAACTGAGGCAGCTCTGAAATTCTACTGAACCTCTTCACTTCTGCCTWGCTGAATTTTACTTCAGAAACCACGTTTCTCCACCTCTTCACAAAGCTTGCCTTTTAGAAATGGTGAGATAAGCTGGTAATCACCTCTGGGACTTCTTGTGGACAAGAAGTGACAATCCCTGCCAGGTTTGGGTGCTTGGCAAAGATGTGCACAGGCTCCTTTCAAAAGCCTCAACGCCCCCAAACTGGTGAAGAGCAGCAGAGTATCGTTATAAGGGTGAGAGAGGTGAGCTTGGGGCTGATTTGACAGAAGTATTTTAATCTTGGTTGTATCTACACAAGGAAAAAATAAAAACTTGCCATGTGGCTTTTTTGGCTCAAAGTTGTGGCACATGTAACTTCCTCACTTTTCTGAAGTGTACAGACTACAAAGAAAATATATAAATGCTAAATATTGGATTTGATTAACCCAGCCATCTCTCGGGAAGTCACGCTCCCTTCCCAGACATTTCATCTCTGGGAACAAATGCAACAAGTTTCCCACATGTTTGTGTATGAAAATGGACTCCAAATTGTGGTTTAGGATGAACTGGGATCTGATTCTGACCACAGCACCGTGGACTAGCTCAAATTACAGCGTTCTTTTGGAGAGCAGAAAATAAAACTTCCTCCCCAAAGAATCGAGGGAGAGAGAGCATGAAACCAGATTTGCTTTCTTATTTATTATATCTAAATCCCAGTGACTAACTCACCCAGTCATATCCTGTATCACTCAGTGCCTACACAAAACTATTCATGTTTTAAAAGGAAATTACTGAATAATAACCACACTGTGTTTAAGCAGACAAGGCACTCCCTCCCTAATCAGGATTGAAGAAAAAAACTTACACCTTCCAATTTCCAGGACAGTGACTCAGATGGAAAATACAGCATTGGCACGTTTAAAAAGAATAAAAATCACAGACAGCTAAGGGAATACTTGTTTCTAGGAAATAATCCCCACCTCTTGGTTTGTCATAATCTCTAGTCACAGCAGTGAGTTCACAATACCTGAGTTTAACTCAAAAATCAAGCAAGTGTGACCAGAGATGCTCATTTTTATTTATTAAAGCAAATTTTCAGTGCCTCTGGGAGACATTTAGACATCTTCTGGTTTGTGAAAAGCCCATTCTGCAGGCTGGATGCAGAGACACGGCTGGAAAAAAAGTTTACATTTTTCACCAGGTCCAAAGCAGAGTCTGTCAGTGCAGAAGAGATTAGAGCTGAATATTCATAGACACAAAAAAAATAATAAAAAAGTCCCTGCTGACATTATTTCAACTGCAATGCTCTGCAGCAGGCAATGAAGTGCTGATCCTCAGCAAGAAGCTGGCAAAAAAACTTTCCTTRGGTGGGAAGATGAAGTCCTGTGGTACAGGACTAATTACTTGCTTGTAAGAAATACTTCCAAGTGGTGCAAATGGAAGCAGTTTTCTGCAAAATAATTATTTTTGTTATCCCAACCTTTATTTTATAGCTTCTCAGAATACTCTATTTTCTAATGCAAAGATGGAGAATGAAGAAAAACWCCTCAATTTACAGAAATAAATGTTAATGTGGTAAGTATTTACCTTTTCATGGTTTTATTTGGTTTAGGAACTGGCAATASAGCAGCTCAGGAAAATAAAGAACAAATTATACATACTCTGCAGAAATTAATTAGTATTAGCTTCCCAGCCTGGCAATCAAAGCTGCTGGATTATTTCCCTGGCTGAAAAGTGACTTCCAGTTTGGATCTTAACTTGCTTTGCTTCACCCTCAGCCAGCCACAGAGCAGGAACTGAACTGAATAGGAACAGAAAGGACCCCAGAAGAGACCTAATGATCATTCMCTGTTATTCGGGGAGGCTTTGTTATTTCACAACGCCATTCCTTTGCAAACAACCCTCACTCTCTGTTTTCTCTGTCTTCCTGTTTTCCCAAGTGCAAAATCGWTGTTGCAGAGCTTAAGTGATAAATAGGGTTTAGAAGAATGAGATGTGCTGGGCTAAGATACACACACAGCTTTATTGACATGTGAAATGTTTGCATGAATGATTTCATACTTCCATGGTATKATGAAAATTCACTACAAAAATAGGTAAAAAGTCAAGTCAGAGGTTTTTAGCCGGAGAAAATAAACAAAAGTCTACAATTTACCCTTCCCCTAAAGTTAAACTAACTTCTTCTGCCAACAATAACACAACAGAACTGTATCAACAGAATTATATCAACACTTCTGCTGTTTCAATATTAAGTTCAAGCATCTGTTAACAACTTATTGCTTGTTGTTGTTGTTACTTGGCCAGATCTTTTATCTGTATACAACCTATTCATGCCAGAGTTCACTCTCTTTTCAGAACTTATTTACTTTTCCCACACTCTGCTTCTAATTTTTTCTTCTCAACCCACAATAATTTGACATTTCTTACAGGCCCTTTTGTCAGGGACAGTTTTCTCCTAAGATACTTAGTCTCTTCACAAATAAGTTTCTCTACCAGAGCACTTCTTTCTACACTGGACGTTATAGCAACAGAGAGGTGATAGCTGACAAAACAAACATGTATGGATCAATTCATTCACAAAAGAAAACATAGAAATTGTCTTTTCTTTGCTGAAAATGTGCATTTTAGTGTTTTGCAAAAAAAAAAGATGGGCAAGAGGCATTGAATAAATACATTAAGAAATTTTACGTAAATCAGTTTATTCACAGTGGGAGTAAAAAAAGCAAGCAAGGAAACTAAAAACCTCTTGCAGCCCAATTCTGCTCACAGGGAGGGGACCGCATTTTTTAATGCAAAATCTCCTCCTACCTTGAAAATAGCAAAGAAAAAAGGAGRTGCTATTAATTCCGTTGGGAGACAAGTGTAGATATATTTTTAAAAGTGTACAATTGACTGGGCCTCAAAAGCRAAACAGCCTCTCAGCACTGTCTGTACCAAGATGTTTGCCCAGCCCACGCCTCAGAACTGTCAGGGATGAGGATTTCAGATCCCATCTGGGTTATCTGCTCTCGAATTGTGTGGTAAATTAAAGAAGTTATCAAAGCTGCTTCACTTACAAACGCAGCGGTTCCCAAATTYTCCCATTCCTATGGCCCAGCAGTGTCTGCTGCCCTGGAAATCACAAAGCATCTTCCCCCGTTTGTGTTCCACAYCAACACACCTCGGTCACCCGGAGCGCAGGACAGCCCCACACTCTGCCCTTTTTGCAGTCCCCAAATAGGTGTTTTGTGCCTGAATATTCTCCTACCGACACCTCCCCGAGGGCTCTGCTGAAATTCATCTTTTTCTGCTCTTTTTGCCCGGCTCCTCCAGCCATGACCGAAGTCAAAGCGAAGTTTGAAACACTCCCAGGCTTCGAGCTCCCTCTGCAGTATTTTGCAAGGACTCATCTTRCCTCGAGAAATCTTAAGATTCTTTGGTTAGGATCACTCCTAGCACTTAAATTTCTGGGAAACTTCCACTGAAATCTGAGCTGCTCTAATAAATAATTTCTATGAAGTTTTATTCTGATGTGGAAGCACTTGCGATCTGTTAGGCTTGGCTAATACTTTCTTTACCAAAGCCCCACGGACTGCTTCCAAAGGAAATCACTGGAATAAAGCAAGTTCCTGGGGTATTTCTGTCAGTGAATATGTCCAAGTCAGAGTCAGAAAGAATAAAAAAGCCTACTCAATCACTCTGGCTTCCATTAGGAGTGAGTTTAAAAGCATTTAAGAGTCTTAATTAAATATTGATTTGTGTCTTTTAGTTTCATATTTGTTACTAATTTGGACACCTTTGGAATTACACAAATGTACAGCATCACTTTCACACTCCTCATGCCTCTGAATCTGGCCACTCAGTTGGTGTGAACTAATTAAAATTTCAGCTRATGTTGTTTCCAATTGCATGTCAAGGAATAGAGCATAAAGGTATAAACTTTGCTGATTTCGACGTCTCCCACATAGATCTGTCTCTGAATTCAGCTGGCTGCCATCACCAGGCACCATGGGATCTGGTCCCTGCTGTTTTGTAGGTCACCATCCTTGGCAAAATGAAAAAGAGATTTTATTTAACTGGATTTTATACTTCTTGTATCATTACAAGCATTACTCCTGCTTCATAAATTAATCCACACACAGCAAATACGTTTCTGTTATGCTGCCCTTTCTGTTAATGTCTTTCCTSGAGTTTAAATTATATTCAGGGCCTCAGAAAGAAATCAAATCTCTTAACTCAGGCACATCTTGTCCCAGCTTGGATTCTCCATGGAAGTTCCTCTCCCTCTTTGCTTTACCATGAGAACATGCAATAGGTTCATTCCCTGCAGTTTGCAGCATTTAGGGAATAAACAAAAATATCTGGTGGGTTTATCTAAGGAGAGGTTGTGCCTGTGGGAGTTTTAGAAATGTTTTGGAGGTGGGAGTTYACATCAGAATGCAAGAGTGGAGATGAAGATGAGGACGATGATAGTGTTTAAGTGCATTTATCAGATGGAAATCTTTTTGTGGTTAGGTCTGTTAGTGCAATAATAAATAATTGATTGTAACATAATAAATTAAAGTGTGCTGGAAACAACTTTAAAATGGGGTAGCTTGGGGAATCAACATGCCAGTGCTTACAGAAGGAACAAGGAAATTTCTGACCTATCCACATGTGTCAAGCAGAAAAGCCATCCTGACACCTACAAAACAATGGGATGGACTTGACCTTTCCCATTTAAGCCAAGTCCACAACCTTCCACCCTGTGAAACAGTCGCCTCTAAAATGCAGGGGTTTAACATTTGCCCTGTTCCTTCCCTTTTAAAGGTCAGCAGGAACTCTGTATCACCATTAATGTCTGTGARGAACAAAGGCCAGGCTGCATGCCCTGTGTTTCCAGGGAAAGGATGGGGGTCTCRGGGGAGCCGAGGCTGCACAGGGAGAGCAGGAGCTGCTTTGCCGGGGAGGGAAACCATGGGAATGGCATCTCTCTGGGAGCAGGGCTCTGATGGGGCCTTTCCTGCTCTTGGTGGAGAGAGTCCTTTACAGAATCACAGAGMCAGTGAATAATTAAGGTTGGAAAAGATGTCTGAGACCATCGAGTCCACCATTAACCCAGCATTGCCAAGCCCACCACTGTGCCTCAAAGCACCACATCTGTACATCTTCTAAATCCCTCCAGGGAYGGTGACACCACCACTTCCCCTGTTCCAATGCCTGTCCACCCTTCCAGTGAAGGAATTTCTCCTAATATGCCACCTAAAACACCGCTGATGATTTGCCTCTTTTCCAGCCCCTTGTCCTTGGGGAAAGAGACCAACTCCCTGCTGTCCACACTCTCCTGTCAGGGAGCTGTGGACAGTGAGAAGGTACCTTCTGAGCCTCCTCTTCTGCAGGCTGAACCTTTCATCCTTGTACTGCTTTTCTTCCCACCTTTTGAAAGGAAAAAAAAAGCACAGAGAGTAACCCTTGTAGGGGCAGGTGTTCACAAGAAGTGCAATAATTCAAMATGAAACAGGAAAACTACAGATCCCCCAACTTCAGGCTTAGACTGTCAAGGTCACACACTGAGTGTTGTGTGTCCACTTCGGGGCTCCTCAGTTTAGGAAGCACCTGGAGGGACTGGAGCGTGTCCAGGGAAGGGAACRGAGCTGGGGAGGGGACTGAAACATCAGGAGGRGCTGAGGGAGCTGGGAAAGGGGCTCAGCCTGGAGAAAAGGGGATCAGAGGGGATCTCATCACTGAGGGAGCTGGGAAAGGGGATCAGCCTGGAGAAAAGGGGGATCAGAGGGGATCTTATCACTGAGGGAGCTGGAAAGGGATTCAGCCTGGAGAAAAGGGGGATCAGAGGGGATCTTATCACTGAGGGAGCTGGAAAGGGATTCAGCCTGGAGAAAAGGGGGATCAGAGGGGATCTCATCACTGAGGGAGTGGGGAAAGGGGCTCAGCCTGGAGAAAAGGGGGATCAGAGGGGATCTCATCACTGAGGGAACTGGGAAAGGGGCTCAGCCTGGAGAAAAGGAGGTTCTGGGGGGACCTTGTGGCTCTGCACAACTCCCTGACAGGAGGGGGCAACCGGGGGGAAATCGGGCTCTGCTCCCAGGGAACAGGGACAGAAGGAGAGGGAATGGTCTAAAGTGCGCCAGGGGAGGTTTAGGTTGGCTATCAGATAAAATTCCTTCACAGAAAGAGTTATCAGGCATTGGGGTGGGCGGCCCAGGCAGGCAGTGGAGTCACCGCGCCTGGATCCGTGTAAGGAAGGATTGGATGGGGCGCTCAGTGCCACAAGCTGAGTGAAAGGTGGTGTTTGGTCATAGATTGGGCTCGATAATCTCCGAGGTTCTTTTCAACTGTATTAATTCTGCGATTCTCTGAGGCGGCCAGGGCTAAGGCACTGAGGCGCTGAGGCACGGTGGCCCCCCCTGCATCAGCACACCGCCCGCGCCCTGCTCGGCTCCAACACACGCTCTGCATTCAGCAGCACCAAACAAGCCCGTTCGCCTCGGGCGGGGCGCGGGGTATCGGGGCAGCAGCGGAGAGAGGCGGCGGCGGCGAGAGGCGCCATTCCCACCCCTCACGGGCGGCGGCGCGGCCGCCATCTTGGTGCGGGCGGGGCGCGCGAAAGCCGCGCTGTGGCGTCACTTCCGGGCACGGAGCGCGGCCATCGCGGCGGGTCCGGCGGCTCCAGTCGGTTCGGGTTCCTTGCGGTCGCTCCCGTCTCGTCTCGTCTCCCCGCTGTGGTCTCCCCCCTGTCTCAGCGTTCCCGGGAAGCCGCTCTGCGCAAACAGGAATGGATTTCCCCTGCGGAGGATGCRAACGAGACACGGAAATCTCCCCCGCGCGGCCTGTGGCGGGCGTGGGCCCCRGCGCTGTGAATCCTTTCCTGAGCCTGCTGCACTCCATCTCCTCGGGCCTGTCGGACACCGAGCTCTCCGCCATGAAGTTCCTCTGCCGCGACAAAATCGGGAAGCGAAAGCTTGAGGCGGTGCAGAGCGGCCGGGAGCTCTTCACTATCCTGCTGGAGAAGCAGCAGGTTGCGAGCGACAACCTGGAGTTCCTGAGAACGCTCCTGCAGCACATCGAGAGGAACGATTTGGTGTCACAGCTGGTGAAATTCGAAGAGGAAGACCCTCGTGTTCCCGATGATCAGCCAGATGTGCATGAAAAACGTGAGTGAATTATTATATATATGTTTAATTATGTCTAATTATAKCCCCCATATATATCCCTCTGCAGCCATCCCAGTAAATTTGTACGCAAATGGCTCGCCGGGGTTAAAATTTCTTCCCTCTTTTGATCTTTTTATCTTTTGGGATTCCAAGTCTTATCTTGTGGCTTCTTTGGAAGTCTCAGTATGTGCAGTGCAACAAGAATGATGGCGTTTCGCTGAAACGAAACTAAAAAAGCAACAGCTTTTAAAACGTTTTCTTACATTTCTTAGTAAATCTGTGGCTAACTTGATCTGCTTCTGCTGTTTCAGGTCGCCTGAAGGTAGCCAGGGCTGTCATATGTGACAATGTTGGGAGAGAGTGGAAGAAGGTGATGCGAGAGCTTGGAATGCCAGAAGTGAAACTGGACAGGATACAGGCAGCCCATCGATTTGATCTGTATGAACAGCTCGTTCAGGCGCTTCGGGAGTGGCAGAGGTGGAAGGGGGAGGATGCAAAGGCGGCTGACTTAATAAAAGGCCTCCGGGGCTGCAACCTGAATTTGGTGGCAGACCTGGTTGAAAAGAGAATCTCGCAGCTGGACACTGAAACAGATGAAATTAGTACAGAAATATGAACAAAAAAARTCAAAGAGCCTTCTTCTCTCTGAACCAAAGTAATTATCACTGGTTGCTTATTATGCCATTAATTTATGTGCCTGAATAAGTTAATTTGTGCTCAGATGAAAATTGACATGAAATTGGATTCCTTTCAGGGAACACTTTGTAGTTTGATGCTGCTTTCAAGACATTTTAACTTCTAAAAGACCTGAACTCCGTTTTGTAGAAATCCTCACACTTTCGTTCTGCCACCCACCTGGAAAGATTTGCTTTGCTGCAGGCACTTTCCAGAGACATCTCCTCTGGAAACACATCCGTGGGACACTTTTGAGGCAAATGGAATTTAAAATTTCATGGGGAGGTTGGAATTTTTTTTTTTGGTGGCCTTTTATAAATGACATGTGAAAGGGAGAAGGAATAAACCTCTCAGCTGGGTGCTGGCTTTTCTTTTGGAGRAGTGTAAGAGAATATCTTATATAATTTGTCAAATATATTTGCTCTCCATGAAAAGACATCTGTTACTTCAGACCTCAAGACGGCAGTGCAAGAGGAACATGAAATATTGTGGCTCTTTCTTGGCAAAAATATGTGCCTGGGTTTGAAAACAAATGTCTGCACCAAGTGCCTTCAGCATTTTGAGGGAAGTGTACTCCTGAAACTACCCAAGAGACTGTGTGCCTTACAGATGTTTAYAGCAGCCTCTTTCCAAAGCTGTGAATACTTTGGGGTTACTTGCTGGGAGTCCTTCCATGCCTTCTTGTCACAGAGGTTGCTGTGTGTGCTGGAAGGTGTAAGCCACTCACAGAGSACACAGGATTTGTGAACAAGACCAGATTCAGCTCTCAGCTTTCATCTGGAACAAACTTCAGTCAGTGGCCTTCACACCTGAGCTGAGGCTGGAGAAACTGCACGACCCAGGGCATGCAGGGCTGTAGAGGCCTCTTGGGGGAGAATCCTCTGAAATCATTGTTTCTTGAATAGTTGTAGGACTGTGTGTTCTGCAGACATCCTCCCAAGTGCCTGACTGTGTACTGGAAGAGGCTTTATTGCTGCTGCACTAGTGGGGCTTTCAGCTCCTCCCGAGTTGTTTTTGTGTGGTGCCATTGCTGTGAAGGCCGGGTGTCAGCACRTAACCTGTCATGGCTCTGCAGAAACGTTGTGACAGTGACAGTTTTCAATGTTTGTTGCACTTGGTGCCTCTCACTCAAACAGTGACACAGGAACACTTAATTGTAGCTAGTGGAAACTGCTCTAAATTCAGACATGAAGAAAAATCATTTAATTCAGGGGGTTTTTCCTTCCATAATTCCTCTCTGCATTCCTAGAAGTGCTCAGGACAGGCTGGATGGGAATGGAGCAACCTGGTCGTGGGAAGGTGTCCCTGGTTGGAACTGGATGATCTTTGAGATCCCTTCCCACCCAAACCATTCCAGGGTTGTGTGATGATTCTCAGTGTCTTTCCAGTTGTGGTATATTAAGTATCAGTGAGTGTATCCAAGCAAAAGGTAACCCAGGAGTTGCCACCTCTCTGCTTTTTGGGCAGGCAGAGATCTCCAAGTTCTTATTCCCTTTACTTGTATCAATTTCAATACCAGACTCCCAGCAGGGCTCCAGCTGAAGGACCAGCTCAGTTTTGGAGGTTTTTATTTAATGGACACTAGTAGTATCCATTTTGCAGCATCTAAAGAAAAGGATTGCTCCAGGASTTTTTCCTTCCTGTCCTGAGCAATCCCTGGGGGCACAGCAGAGAGGTGGAGTGAGCAGGATATGAGTGCTCAAACAGCTCTGAAACAGCTCCAAGTTCAATCTCTGCTAAAGTGCTTATCCACTTTTAAAAAATCTTCTCATTAAGAGGAGATTTCTGTGAAATATGAAGAGTGTACTGCTTACTGCATATAACCAGGATATTTTAGGAATCAGTTGGAATAAGCTGTTAGTTGTAGCCAAGCACTCATCAGCTGCAAGAAATACTCTGCTTCAGAAGATAAAAACCTTCAGAAGATAAAAACCTCTTTCTTTAAGGATTTTTACAGCCTTTTACTGCACCTGAAAGCAGTGACCGAGGCTGCATCAATCTGTGCAGTAGCTCAGGGCCAATTAAGACTGCTTTTACAAGAGATTAAAATGTTTTTCATATGAGAGCAAAATCAACTGCAACGAAGGGAACAAAAACTTTTTATTGGGAGGAGGGCTAAAGGAAAAGAGTGCAATTTGTAAGGGAGTGTTTTCTGATCCAGTTGACAATCTTTTATTTTCAAATTAAATACCTTGAGCTCAATATACACATTTTTATAACTTGAACTTGGGTTTTATATTGTATAATTTTATGTACGTTTCATTAAAAATAATTTCTTRAAAACCAAAATAAATGGGACTGTTTTGTTTGTTTGTGTGATGGGATTGCTGTCTGCATAGAGATCTCTGACTGGGAGAAGATGGATGTTAAGGACACTCTGAAAGGAAGGAGTGTTGGTGAAYAGGCATTGTGCTATCAGTGCCCTTCTTGGGACATTAAAGGCAAGCAGCAAAGTGTTTTGTCATTGAGTTGCTCAGAAGTGCTAAAGAGGCTCCAGTTTTCCAGCAGCAGCAGCATATCAATGCTGTCACTCAGGGAGGTGTAAGGGGAAAAAAGATTCTCTGTCAGCCCTCAGGAGCCTAAAATTGAGTCCCAGTGTGCTTGGGAAGCTGCCTGTGGGTAGGTTTCCTTTTTTCCTCTGCTAATCCTGCTGTAGTAAGGATGTTTTATTTGKTTTATAGTTAATTAAAAGCACAGCTTCTAGTTCAGTCAAAGCTTGGCCAGGCTTTTAGAGGATGTGCTYAGAATTAGATTGACAGAAGCTTGGGTGCTCTGTGGAGTGTCAGCCTGCACTTACAGCTGTGAATGAGTAAGACAAATAACTTAATTACCCATTTTATCAAATCCTTTAGGATGCTCTGCAAGAGTATCTGCCTGTGAGGAATTGCTCAAACCTTTCCCTTTTGGTCTCCTGAGAGTCATCTTTCCTCAGAGCTTTGAGAAAACAGCACATCAAAACACATGGAGAGTTAAAAGTGCCATCTCAGGAGAATTCTCATCTTGGAGGATTGTTTTTCCATGTCTCTTCTCAGTCCCTTTCAGCACTTGCTTGCCATTTCCTGTGTTTTCCAAAGATATCAATTACAATCACATATTGAGGTGGGGTTTTTTTAATTGCATTATTTTCATCACTGAGTTAAAAGAAGTTTTCCAGATCATTAATTAAAAATCCTCTTACACAAATTGGTTGTTGTGAACATTTCAAATGCAATGCTTTGGTTTCCTTTTCTCCATTCTCCACACGTAGGCAGCTGCATTTCCTCCAGCCTTTGTTTCATTCCTAAAATAATTGTCTCCTTTCTGAAATCTAATTGCTTCATTTAATTGTCTAATGCAGAAAACTCAGTAACACAGACTGTGTCTYCAAGCTCTCTCTGGTACTCAGCATGTTCTTAATTCAGGTTTTTTGGCTGAGTATTTTCAATTCAGATTTATTTCTAATTACTGCCTTGTGCCCTTCTCCTTGTTCCCTGCGTGAATCACGTATGTCGTTAAAATGTGTTCCAGCACAAATATTTTTCTAGRTTGTTTTCCCTCTYTGATTTATTGATTTCTCTGCCAGCRTTTTGGTGCACTGRTGGAATTTTGAGAAATTAGTTCACCGTTTCAACCATAAAAATAGGAACTGTGGGGGTGAGCTGAGGCATAGGGGAAGCAGTTGTGAGTAGAGGTTCAGGAACGTTGGGAGAATCTGTGTTTCAATAAAAAAATGTCACAGCTGAGGATTGCTTCATTCAAAGAGGGTGTGTTGCAACATGTCCTGGGAACTGTAGGCTTGGGGAGAAGGAAGCAGAGCTTTACTCAGCTGCCGRGAAAGGCAGAGTCATGCAGGTTTCTGTGTGGGAATCTGCATGGAATCGACTCGGAGGCACTCTTAATCATGAATAGTCCCATCCACAGAGCCATTCCTGCTCCTGCCTCATTCCTGAGAGCATTACACATGCCTTGCTTAAAGCAGGCTGAAGTGAAAACAACAGGCTCGTTCTTGTGCAACATGATGTAATAGACACTATTAAAATACATGAAGTTTGCCATCCTGATGGAGTTGGAATTGGGGAATTTCTGTGATTTAATCCATCTTGGAAGCTGAAAGCCTTTCCATTGGTTTCCGGGTGCTCTGTGTGTACAGTCCCAGCGTGGATGGCAGCTTGGCTTTCCTCTCCTTCCGTTTGGTGTGCTGTGTTTGGGGCAGGTTCACAGCAYTCCAGGCAGCTCTTGTAGCCAAGTGAAAGGGTTTGGGTGAGTTCTCTAGTGTACAAAAAATAACAACTCTAAGAGAGGCTTTGAGACTTCCACTACACTGTAATAAAAAAGTGCGTTTGCTAAAGAAGGCACCTTAACGTCAGCCTTGTATCTCTGCCGAATGCTTCAGAAACTTGTCAAACTGGTATTTTTTATTTACTACGTAGTGTTCAAGCCTTCAGAGCAGCCTCTGATGCTGTGTGAAGTAACACAGACAGAAAACTGGACCATTGTCACGGGAGATATAAAAAACACCCAGCTGGGATTTTCTGTGGGAGGTGTTTTATTTACAGGTGAGCCTGGCTTTAGGAAACTTCTACTGAAAGCAATCATCTTGCCATTTTAAATGCTTACAATTTTTACAATGTTTTCCATTTCTTAACTCTGCTATTCCTGTTCATCCCAGCAGGAGTACAAAATTTAAAAAATTATTTGCAGAATTTAATCTGAACAGTCCTGATTGTGGTCTATTTTTTAAAGGGTTGTAGTAGATATTCTGCAAGTGTACACATCACCTGTGGCAGAAGTTTGTCCAAAGGTATGTATAAAAATTAAATTTCTATTTTTATATTTCTATATAAAAGTTGGTGATTTTTGTATGCAAACCTGGTACTAGATTTTATAGACAGTGAGCMTATAAAGTGCAAGAAAGGTTTGACCTAAAAATGAAACTCTAAAGCTGTTCTTGCCATTAATGTCTGTATGTGAACAAYTGAGCTAAATCTTATCTTTGTTTCYCTCCCAGTCATCTCCTGAGAGGTGCTTTCTGTCATTCCCAGGCACATTGCCAAATTTGGAACAAAAATTGCCAAGAAAATGTGAATTAAAAGAGTGCAGCACTGGCAGGTCTGTGTCTCACATCCCACATTGTTTAATTTATGTTCTGCTCAGTGTAAGCAGAATTTATTCACAGCTTCTTGGCTGTGAAGTCCCTAACGTGGGAAAGCTGGGATAGCCTGAATTCCCCCCAAAGCCWGGGTTGCCATGGCAGCCAGAGTGCACGGCAGTCCACGGGCATGAGGCTGCAGCCGCTGCCTCTGGCTATTCCAGGATAATGCTGGGAAGCTCTTAAAACAGTGGCATTGCTGCAGTCTCAGTCTGTGACCAGGGCAGGAATGGACACTGAACTTCTTGATGAATTCCCTCACTTCCACATCTCCGTGGAACAAGCCGTGTGAGAGAGCAGGGCTRAATAGTAAGATATGCAGGTTTGTTTTTTTTTTTTTTCTCTGAGCACCAGTTTGGTGCTTCCATTTCTGCTTGCAGCTGGAATGGTGGATCTCAAGCTTGTGCATGTAGCTGCATGCTTGTGCATGAAGCAGCTAATATATATGCAAATGAWTTAAACTAATGAGAGCTAAAGCCAGCAAAGTGCACGTTTCTAGCTAACGGCTGCGTGCAGCTCTGTTACACACCACTTCAAAAAGTTATTTACCATGGACCTGCTCATACCATTTTCTGTAAACCATATTCTACTTTCTACAAAAAAAAAGAAAAAAAACACAAAAAAACATCCTCAATCTAAGGAACTCATGTCTGAATCTTTCAATCGAAATGTCAAATTCCAGCTAGCCTGTGAATTTTCAGGGCTATTAAATGTTGAACTGTGTCTTAGAGGACTATGTTCACTGCATGCAGTATTTTTTCCCCTTAATTCCTGGAATTTCATGGTTAAAGCACTCCAGCCCTGACTCACTTTGAACTTTTATTCACGTGACTCAATGGCCAAGTAAGAATTTAAACCCCTTATTTTCATGTTAGACCTGAGCAAGAGGCACCCCCACACCCTGGCCTTTTATTGTAAGAGTAATTCTGTGGATGGGGCACTTTCTTTGCATTCAGTAAACAAATAAAATGCTGGGGAAGGAAGGAAGGTATTTAGCCAAGGTTCCAAATAATCCTTGAGCTCCTCAGCATAGGGAASTGATGCCTGTGCTCCCTGCAGCCACTGGGGGTAACTACAAGCAGCTGGAGCATGGCAAAAGGCACCCTCATCATGATTTTCTCCCTAGGAGTATCTCCTCCTTTCACCTGATTTGCCTTTCAGTCAGAGAATGGAGGTGGGAATCCTCATCAGATAAACCCTCAGCTCTAGAAATTCCTGATTCTCAGCTATCATTTCCACTGGATAAATGCTGAGCAGCGTGAAAGGACCCAGGTCATTTTGCAGCTTGAAAGGCAAAGGTAGCTTTGAGTCCTGTGAATGAAGGATCACAGAGGTGTCTAGGCCATCACACAGCAACTTAACCAAATTTAATGTCAACCAACACCTTTGAAAATCCTGAGTTTGCTTTCACACATAGTGTTTGTGTAATTCCTGGGTTAGCATTTTCACTGGTCCATGGTTTACTCTTAGGTTTTACTCAAATTTAGGTTTAAGTGATTTTTTAAAAGGTGATTGCTTTAATAATAGGTGATTCAAATAGGCTTGAGTTGGGTCTTCTGCCAGAAGGGGCCTCACCAGCAAATCTGGTATCTGTGTCTTGTATCCGACTTGTGGGGAGCTCAATTTGTTTGGTGAGGGCTGAGAGGTTCCCACAGGCTAATTCAGAGGAATTAGAGAAAGAATTATAGAGAAATCAGATCCCAGTTTATTTTAKTTGAAYAGAACCTGAAGTGCYCCATAGGCTTGTCCCAYTTTCTCCCYTAAAAGGTTACTTTCATCCCTTATYTCCTTCCTGCAAAGGAAGCCCCTGCAAAGGAATCATCCYCCAGCTCATCATTAAATGCTGAATAAAACACACAGGCCTGAGGGAGGACAAACACTTGTTTTCTTGGTGGTTTGAAGAGGAATTTGACAATTCTTGAATCACCCCTGGTTATCCAGACAGCCCATTCCAGTGGTTTTTTGTGCATTCAAACAGGATATGACAACCTCAGCTAGGAAAAAATGGGCATGGATGGAGTTGCCACGGTACCTGTAAGCAGGTCAGGGAGTATCCTGTTTTTGAAACATTATCATGTCAGATGTCACAGCTTCCTGCTTTGGTTTTGGTTTTTTTTTTTTTTTTTTTTTTTTTTTTTTTTTTTTTGTTTCCATGCAAAGAGAAGGAATGGGGGAGCTGCTGGCCACGGAGAGCTGCCAGCTTCTCTCAGCCATGCATTTTGGTACTACAAAGGTGGCATTATTAACAGCAGACAAAAAAAACCCTCTAAATCATGCAACCAAAGTGAACCCTAGCAGCTGAAAACCCTTCCTTTGTGCACTTGGAAACCTTGCCATGACCTAACTGGTGTCTGTATACAGAGGCTTTTCTGCAGCATTTTGGCTGTAACTGAGACATGCTATCTCCATGAGCACTGAATATTGGGAGTCAGGAACCATCTCTATTGCTACTACTGGACATCCTCACTCTGAGAGGATAAAACAACCAATTGCTGGATTTTTACACAAGAAAAAAAAATTATCACTGGTTTGGCTGGCATAAAATTTGGCAATTCTGCTTACAGCAAAAAACTGGCACTGCAGAACTTTTTGTTTTRTCACTTACACCTGAATATTCCCTATTTTGCTGAATATCCATGGGCAGGTAAATGCTGAATATTCATACAAGGCACCTCACTGTGTTGTACATAGCTTAAAGATACATTAAAATCAAACTGGTGCTGTGTTGTTTCGGTGAAAGGAAACTGCACATTTAATTACAAGAGAGAAGGAAAGTATTGGGCATGAAAATTACATGCCTCCCAAATGCTGATATGCCTCTGTGTGTGTACATCCACATATCTGTGTGTGTATAGTGTGTGTATCCATCTGCACACACACACACCCTACAGTAGTTTGATATTATCTGGAAAACAAGATTTTCCTGACAGGGCTATTTCTCAATACTGCTTCTCAAACTTCTGTCCCTTACATGCTCAGTACTGCTTCAGTAAGGAAATACATATCCCTATGGCAATCTCCAAGAGCAGCCTAACTTTATTAGAAACAAAGGTGGTGTTTCTGGGCCAACTCATTAATAAGAACAAATTCAGAGCCAGCTGCTGCATCTCCAGCATCAGCCAGAGCAGGAGTGGCTTTGAGCTCTTGTTTTATTCTCATAGGTTTAAATGCAAGAACTGGCTTAATTTCTAGAGTGCACTAGAGCACTTTGTGTGATTTTCTGCATTTTCCTTCAGTCTAATATTTTGGGTCAATAACCAAAATACAAAATACCCAAAAACCTCTCAGTGCTGAAATAAAACTTCTGTTCTCTTCCCTCTTYCTTCTGCTTTTGCAGGCAGCAGCTGGAGACACCTACTAGTACAAATTTGGAAATTATACCTGGCTAAAGTGAATGGAAKAGTCCTTCTCTCACTCTGGTTGTGCTTTTCCAGTGCCCTAAATGATTCCAGCAAAAGGCCCTGCCACTTCAGCCTTTGGCTTCACAGGTAAAAGGTACAAAGAGCAAGTTTGTGCCAGGTTCCTCGATGGCTTTTGTGGCAAGGGCAACATTTCACCAGACTTAAACTGCCAGATTAGCCTCACCTTGGCTAGACTTAGCATATGAAGAAATGTTAATGATCCCTGGAAATTTTAGGCATTGTTATTTAAAGTAGTTTGAGAGACAAGGGAAGGTATAAGTTTGTTTGCATTTGGGGGAGGACCTGACCTCTGTTTGGAGTACTGGATGATTGATTGTAATGTGAAAGGATAAGGTGAGGAGTGTTCCTGTAGCTCTTTGTGCAAAAGCTTTGGTGTGTTGTGGGAGCTTAACTTGCAGGCCYGAGCTAGAACCTGCTCCTGAGTCAATATTTCTGTTGACTCTTTTAAATGTGGATTACAATGCAAACAGATGGTGTGGTCAGAGCATCTTTAATATGAACTGTGATCAGGAGAACAGGGAATTTATCTCTGAAATAAATCATTTCCCCTGCTTGTTATGGCACAAATGAACGATATCAATCTGCTGTTTTCTTCCATTATGAGTTATTCCCTTTTATATCTTACATGTGTTATCCTGACTTCATTTAAGGATTATCATCAGACAATGACAAGGTTTGTTCAGCTGTTGTCCACCTTCCTAGAAAYAATGATTCCTACCCAAGAGCAGGGAGAGGACAACTTTCATACCTTTTCTCTGGTTTTTTGGGTTTTTTCCCAAGTTACTGCCATGTCATCTTACCTTCAACAGCCAGATAGTAAATGACWTTTTATTTAGTAACAGCTCACCTTAATTAATTGTAATTTGACAAAAGCTGTGTAAATACCTCTGTGCAAAGGAACAAGGCATTCAGGCAAACAGAGAAAGGGAAAGAGAACACTTGGGTGACTAAGTGTTATCTGGCACAAGGCAGGGACAAATCTTTTGTTGGTAGCCGAGTCAAAAGAGTGCACATGGAGACCTCAGTGGCAGCTGAGGACACACTGGATGAAACCTCAGGTGCAGATAAAGACATTCCTGCAAGATKCCTGAACTCGGAGTGACCCACAGGGACAGGTTAAGCAGCACAAGAGTCACATACAAAGTCTGACTCCAGCTGGAGGAGGCAATATGGACTGACCATAAGTTTTCCAGAGATTTCTGTGTGGAGGGAAGGTAAGTTGGGYCAGATTAGTAACAGACACTCTGCCAGCCAAAAAGAGATGCAAGGCTTCATCGTGCTTTTATTCATTATTATWAAAAAAAGATGGTTCCATAAGGATTTAAGCATCCTTAACACATTAATCTCAAAAGCAGGATATTGTAGCAGCACTGAAATTAYAATTTCAGGCAGAAATCCTAAAATTGCCTTACTTTAGGCCACTGTGAATCCAGCAGTAGGAGCAAGGCAGGCATGCTCCTGATGAACTTAGAGAGGATCCTGCCTTCTCCATGAGGATGTTCTCTGCACTGCATGTCTCACCTGGGTCATGTGTTCTGTGCTCTGGGTTTATGGATTTGCAGGGAATTTTGCTTAAAGTTATGGTGTTTTCTTCAAAAGCTAAGGATGAGACMGTTCACATAGCACAGGGAAACAGTGATGAGTCAGGACAGGCCAATATGGAAGCAAGCGGGGAAGGAATTTACTTAAAAAGAAGCCCCACTTATTTTATTTCCATTATTTTTCCTGATATTTATTTCAAATTGACTTGAGCATTGTTCCCAAAGGTCTTGGTTTTTTTTTTTCCCTCTGGCAAATGTAGAGCTGCTTTTTCTGAAGTATTGTCTGTTTTCCCTGAAGGTTTTCTTCTGCCTCTGATTGCTTTTAAATGTCACTCTGCTGCCTAAGGCTGCTGGTAGGTGGTCTGAGCTGAATGGTTACCATTAGATGCCTCATACCTATACCCATTTTCCATGTCTGATCCTGACCTGGTGACCTTCTTCTCCAAATGCCAAAGGTGAGATTTAGTCTGAAATGACTTGGTTGCCTAGTCAGCACAGGAAATAATATTGGGAATTGAACTTTGACAGCAGTACACTATACCTATCGGCAGAGAATTTCATCTGAGCCTTAGGTTCACTTGTAAACTGCAGATTTTTTGCCAAACACACTGTTGCCATTGCAAGTGTCCATAGTTTTTGTAATTTTTACCTGTTGCAGTTTGCCTTGTGACTTCATTTCAAGGCTGTGTTGGTTTTTAGTTACCACCTCATTTTAGCAAATCAGTATTTTTAGTAAATACTGTGAAGACAGTGGATAGTTCTAAAATGATGAAAATTAACATTTTCCCTCATACATAAACTGGTGATTCACTGTGTTATTTACATTTTCATTTGCTGATAAACTGAAGCTGGCTGCACAGAGAAATCCTTTAGCCTTGTCACACATGTGTGATTTGGGACTAATACCTGCCCAACATTATTATCTTCACACACGCAGGTTAATGCTTCAGTTCAGTGTGCATCTGAATGATGAAGGCAGGGACTGCTGCAAACAATTTCATGCARGCAATGTGCATGTAATGAAAGGTATGTTAACACTTGAAATCCAGTCAGTTGAGGATTAAAAATAGGCTTAAGTGCTATTTGGGATCTCTTTATTTTTAAAGGCTTTTATCTACTTTATGACWGTATGAAGGACTAATGATAGAGGATACTGAGTACATAGAAATCATGTTTCTCTTTGCTTAGTGCCTGCTCCAAGGCCACTTGAAACAGGAGGAGCCTTTGCATAGCAGACAAAGCGAAAAAAACCCTTATTTTTACCCTCAAATGTTGATTTACAGGAACAGAAGTGTTACTTCACATGCAAATCCTCTTTTTCTGTAGTTGGACTATTGGTAGAGTTTGTTAAATATATTATTAAAATAATGCAATCTTTTAATTTWTCTTTTAGCAGGTCTCAAAACATTCTAAAAGCCGAAGCCTCAATATTACAATGATCTAGGTAGTAATTGAATTGCAGCCCAGCTAAAATGACCAGGACAGACAAACTGTGGGCTGCTCAATTCATAGGGATGAAGCCACTGACAGCCCTGCTCATTTGGTGGACACTCATTCATTTTCCTTGCTTTCCTACAGCTCCAGGCTGTGCYGATCTCACACGTATCCAACATCATCTCACGCTGCTTTAGCCATCCYAGCACAGCTCCTGCAGCAAGAGTCCAGCTGCCCTCTGGAGTCCCTGGGAACAGACAGGCACCTTGAGCAGGTGATTCATGGACCACACCAAAGATCTGAATCACTCCTCCCATGGAATGGCTCTCTCGCTCCACTGATTACAGAGGCAGCCCCGGGTAAATGGGTTCATGCTGGAGGTGGTCAGCCTGGTGGAATGAATCCAAACCTGTTCCAGCTAGRCAGGAGCTGCATTATCCCAGCTGCTTCTGAATCCTTCGCTCCAGTTCCTTCTTCCAATATTATTCACTGCTCCATCACATGAATATGGCCTTTCCACAAAGTATTATCTTTTAAAAAATGTTTAACTAAATAATGTGCAACTCTACTGCCCTGAACTTACAACTGAACGCACTTTTAGGTCGATATATTTCATTACAGGCATAAACTATTTGAAGATGTGCTGAAATCAGTCTACACTAAGGGAATGTGCTACGTTTGCTTTAGATATTACGGGTGTATTTCATTTCAGATTGAAATAAATGATACTTGGTTTTAGAAATTCTTTCTAGCTCAAGGGGATTTCTGCTGCTGTAAATCCATACAAAAAAGACAACAGCTGCAGTAATTCTGAACTGCAAATTGCACAACTGAAGCTGAAACTAAGCTGAAAGCCTTTTCGAGTTCAGCAGGTTTGTACTTGAGTGAGAATATGTGGGTTTGGTTGCAAGAATAACAGTTAAATTTGAAGTTTATCGTCTTGACATAGGTATGATTTCCACTAAAATAAATTGTGTAAGTTCATCTGGTATTTCAAGAGTCTTCTCCATGTCTACAGTTGCTTTGTGGGGACTTTTCTTCCCACATCCAACTCAAAGAAACCCTTAATTTTCAGACCAGCCAATTCCCATTTGATTTACACTTGCCTGAATCCGGCATGGATCCACGGAGACCGATATAATATAAATAAAATGTCAATCCAAAGAATTGTGTCGAGGTTTGTAGAAGTCACGGCTCCCATCGCCCAAGGGCTGGCACATTTACTGGGGCACTTATCTTTATACAYGGGCATAACCATTAATTACCTCCATCCTCTTCTCCACAGGCCACCTTCCAGCCTCTCATTCCTTCTCCCTCAGGCAAAGTGTCTCCTCTGTCGAGCAACCTCTGGAGACGTTTGTTACGGTAACAGAATGGTCCAGGTCACGTCTATCTACTGACAAAAGGATAATCAGTGCTGCTGGCAAAAATCCTGTCCTTGCATCTATTCATTTCTGTATGAAATGCCTGAAATGTGTTCAAAATGCATTTTGCTGCTAAGTCATTAAGTCATCTGTAAAGGACAAGGAGTAAATAAGGTCCCRTCAGCTCGGCTCAGAAGGAAAAAAAAATGCGTAGGCGATCTTGGACTATTTTCAGCAGAGGTTTTGTGCTAGCGTGGGGTGGCTGTGAGGCTCACAAAGGAAATTTCAGCCCAAATGAAGCGTGAAGCGGAGAGACAGCGGAGCAGAGGCGAGCAGGGCAGCGCTTTGCTCGCTCACCGATGCCATGGAGCAGAGCAGGTGTTTGTCCTCAGCAGCCACAGCCCCGCACCTCACCCCGCAGCACAGGCTGGCAGGAAGAGCTGCCTGTTTTGCTGAGCTTGGATAAACATTAGGATCTAATTTATCATGTGACAGGAAAGGAAACCTTTTTTTCCCCCTCTCCTCCCTGTTTTTAACAGCCTTTGTTTGAATTTCAGYGTGTGAGTTTTGAGGTGCAAAGAGYGGAGAGAGATTTAACCTGGTCTCTGAATCGATTGCTTTGCTGTCAGATGATATATGGTGGCTCTTCCCAGGCACATCCACAAGTGTTACATCTCATTAAATGACACGGACAGGGAGCCAGACCTCTTGTTGAACTTACAAAAGAGACATCACACTCATTTAATTAAAAAGATCTGAGCTGCTTCATGTCGGATGGTATATCCCGGGTTACATGCCCAGGAGGAAATAAAAAGGAAACTSTTTTCCTTGTACTACAAATTAAAGAGGACTGAGAAATATTTTGGAATTTGCAGAGCTTGGGAGTTCTGACTTCATCATTCTGTGTGTATTATGTGCAGCACGGAGCGCAGTGCAAAGATCTGGTTATTCTGTTTTATCTCTGGAATTTCCAGTCCTGGCCCTGTGTTGATCTGATCTCAGCTTTTGTGGACTGCACATGGGAATAGCAAGGCTTCAAAGGCAGGCTTTTCAGATATTTTTGGGGCACCTCAGAAATTCTGCTGTATCCACGGTCTGGACTTTGTGTGGCATTCACAGAGCGTGGCGCCTAAGGAAGGTATTTGCAGTATGCCATGTGGGAGGCATTTTCCTTAGCTAGGATATTCTGGATTCAGGCTCCCTCCTGGACTAAGCCATCCTTTTGGGCATGAATAAACACCTAGCTCTTTACAGTGCCTCCTTTTCATATAGCAGACATTTATATGCTATGGGAACTCTGCTCCCACCTGAGGCTGAAACCCATTTCTCAAGAAAGTGCCTAACCACTGGCATATCCACCCTCCTCCGAAACCTGTGTACACAGTGATTTAAAGGTGACAGAGACAAAGGTGACAACTCCTTGAGGCTGAGGAGGGTCTGCAGCTAAAACCTCCTGCCTCTTAGATGGGAAATCCAACCATGGATGTGAGGAGCTGAGSAAGCTGGATGCAAATGTCTGTGCCTTGGTAACAAACTGGGTGAAGTGAAAAATAATATATGGAGTTCATTCATATATATTCTCAGTTCAGAATTTTGTGGTAGGTTCTTTGCTTTCATAATGAAGCAAGATTACCGCATGACACAAACCTTCATTTTTTGGTTTCAACCATTTAAGAACAAAACAAAACTTAGTTTCAAAAGAAAAACACACATTCCACGTCCTCCCAAGCTGAGAGAAAATGTAATTCCATGTTTTAAGATCTAYGTGAATACCAAAGTTCACTTATTAATTTATTCCACATGACCTGGCTCAGARATCAGTTAATTTGACAGGATTAATATTGCAGTGTCCAGTTGGAGAGAGATTATCAACTCTGTGCCCGTTACAGTGTTTAACCTTTAGCCCTTTCATCCACAAAGTCTCCATTTGACTCACATGTTAAACACRAATCAAATCAGGCCAAATCAATCTTTCTGGTCAAATTATTCATTTTTATTTTCTATGTATGATGAGTTGAAGTGAAATGGTGTTTGTTTACAAAGCCATAAATTTCACTTTACTTTTCAGCCTTATTTTGGTATAGCTTGAACAYATTATTTGGAAGATGCTACCCTGGCAGCTCTTTCCCCTGAAGTCTTCTTCATCTGCTGAAGATAATCTGGATCAAAGCTAACAAATAAAAGCATTTACCTATATACAGGTGTCGAGCAAAACCATGACAACAGGTTAATTCATAGCAATTAATTTTGGAATCTTTTTTCTGCTCTTCCTRTATTGAAAATTCAGGTCTCAGTTATTCAGATATTCAGCATTAAATCTGTGCTAACCAATATTTGGCAGAACTCGTGATTTGAGAGTGCCTCATCATATTTGGCTTTTCCCCTCAAAGTTCCAGCTCCTAGAGTCATGGGATTACATTAGAAACTTGAGGAGGAAAAAAAGGTAAYGTAGACCTCACAGCTGTAGAGGGAAAGCTTACAAAATGTGACCTGGATTTACACTGAAGGCTCAGATACCAAAGGGAAAGAGCACAATGAACTTGAAAGGAATTTCATGTGTGGGGAAAGGAAGACKGACTCATTAGTGATCCTTTCCATCCACTGCTAGGTGTTGGGATGTTGTGTTTACAAATTAATCCACATAATTCAGTCACAAATCTGCAGAACCTTCTGTGCAGGGACTGCCACTTTTTGGCATGACTCACCTCTGTCTGTGTAATTGGCCCTTGATGCCTTTCAGAGCTTTCCACTATAAAAGCAACAGTAAGGTTCAAAATGCAAATACTTTATTCATGGTGGTAACACAAATACAAAAGTTTTTCAAGGTTCACCTGCAAAATTCAACCTTCAACTCATGGGCACAAAGACTCCAGGAAGAGAGTAAAAGCTATAGAAACATGAGTAGAAAAATGTTTATATGCTGTTTTGGAAAAATAATAGTCGATGTAGCCAAACCCAGTCTCCTGTGGAGAGCAGGCTATGTCATGGGGTCGCCCCTCACTGGAGCTGTGCTGGGGACCCAGTGGCTCGGCTCCACACAATTATGGAATTGATCAGGTTGTGAAAGACTTCTGGAATCATGAAGCCCAACCCATAACCCAACACCACCTTGTCACCCAGACCATGGCACTGAGTGCCAAGTCCAGTCTTTGTTTAAAGCACCTTCAGGGACAGTGACCCCAGCACCTGCTGGGCAGCCCATCCTAATGTGTCATCGCCCCTTCTGTGAAGGAATTCTTTCTCATGTCCARCCCAAACATCCCTTGACGGCTCAAGACTATCTCCTCTTGTTCTGTCACTTTTTGTCTGACARAAGAGACCAACTTGGCCACAACCTCCTGTCAGGGAGTTGCAGAGAGTGATAATGYCCCCGGCTTTTGTCCAGGCTGAGCCATCCCCCCGCTCCCTCAGCCGCTCCAGGTGCTCCAGACCCTTCCTCAGCTCCATTCCCTTTCTGGAGACGCCGCAGAACCTCAGTGTCCTTCAGGACTGAGGAGCCCAGACCAAGGCACAGGCTGTGGGCTCGCCTGGGGGCTCGGAGCGGGCTGGGCCAGCCGGGAGCTGCGATCCCGCCCCGTGCCCGGCCGGACCGTGCTGCGACTGCGGGCCCACCGCAGCCCTGCCCTGTTCCCAGCCCTCAGCGAGCACGCCTCCCGCCCCAGGGCTCCGCCGCACCTTTCCCGTCCTTTCCTTCGGGGCGGGCACCGTGGGCGGCGGCGGTATCGCTGACAGGGGCAGGCAGCGCCGCGCCGGGTCTCGAACCCGCGGCCCCGGCATCGAGGAGCGCGGCAGGGGCGGCCGCACCGCCCCGCGCGGTGCATTGTGGGCGCCGCACTGATTTATGCGAGGCCGCGGAGCGCGCCGGGAGCGGCGGGAGGAGGCGGCGAGCGGGGCCGGGAGCGGCGGAGCCGCGGTGGGGATCGTGGCTCTCCGGGCGTGCAGCGCTTGTGCCGCCCCCTGAGGCCGCGGCGGCACCGCCGGGCGGCCGCCACCACCCACCCGGCCTCAGCCGACCCCGCGCCGGCCACCACGGACGTGGAGGCGGCGACGGGCGGAGCCGGGCCCGGCCCGAAGGGACCGTCCCGGCGCGGCGGAGCCGCTGCCGCTCGGTAGGGGCCGGAGGGAGGGCGGGCTCGCCGGGGTCTCCGCGGGCCGGCTCGCTCCGCAGAAGCTGCGCCGGGCCCGGGCCGCGCTGCCGGCGCCGCTGGGGCCTCCGGCGGGGAGCGAGCGAGGCSAGGAGGGAGGCCCGGCCCGGTGCTCCCCGAGACGGGCGGGGGGAGCAGGAGGGCCCCGTGCTCTCYGCCCGCAGCTTTGTTAGCCGGGCCCTCCGCGGGGAAGGGGAGCGGCGGGGCCGGGCCGGTGCCCCCCGGAGCTGCCGGTTCCTTTCTTTCCCCGCTCTCGGCTGCATCTCTCGGCTACGGAGCATCGTCTGGGCGAGAGCGGGTGCAGGACTGGGGCAGAGGAAACAACAGGTCTCGCTCCCGCTCGCCTTCCAMAGCGACGCCAGCGCCTTGCTCTTGGGATTATAAATGTTTGAACTAAGACCCAGGGAACTGGAAGGAGAGCCTCCCGTTGGAATTAATAGGAGAGAAAAGAAGGGAGGCTTTTCCAAATCCTCTACAAGAAAGCTGGTGCTGTTTTCCCCTGCTGTCCGTACTCTGTTTAATAATGCGATTGTGACCTGAGTGGAATTTATGAGCGATGAACTATTGAAGCTTGTTGCACCACTGCATCGGACTACATTTTTTTTTTCTCTCAGCACATGGTTCTTCCATCCCAGCTGTTGCAGGACCTATGGGCCAGTAATAGAAGGATGGGAAGCTGAGACAGTTTATTTTCACATTCTTCTGTTCTGTGGACTTGGCGATTTAGCTGAAGCTGCTGCATTTTACTGGATCTGCTCTTTTCTCGGCAGGTTTATTTTTTTCATGTGTTTCGATTAAACAGTCATTGGACTGGAGCTGGATGGGTGCTTTGCAATCCAGAAGGTTTTGGGGGATAACAGAAAATTGCTAAAAMAGAGAAGAACTTGTGCTGCAGGAAACCTGGGGCCTGTTTTCCAAGCCTTTTTGTTTTACTGAGCAAGGTAAATAATGTAGTGGGGAAAATTCAGGGCTTATCGTAATCATGCATGAAAATGTTACAAAGCACTTCAGACTGTTCCAAGTCTTTCAAGGGATTGAGARGACCCACAGTAAGACTCAGAATTAATTGCTCTTTTAAAATTTTCAGATATGAGTGTGAAATTTAAGGCTGAGAACAAAGTTGGTGGGTGCCTGAGAGATTGGGGAACTGCTTTTCTTGACTTTGCCTTAGGTTCTTGTAGGTTTGTGATTTTGAGAGAGCTTGTCTTAAGAACTTTCTTGGTGGTTCAGTGTGCAGTGATTAGACCACTGGTTTTTTTCCATGTTTTTTTAGAAATTTGATGCCTTAGCTGTGGTAGGGATMTGTAAGGGTCTCCTAAACGTGCTCCCAAGTTTATAGTGTGCTCACTTCCAGTAGTGCTTCTGTTTGCATTGTTAATTGCATTCATCCTCTGCCTTTAATTATTTTTGCTTATCTTTAGTTTTGCCATCCACGTTGACAGCTGCTACTACTTCATCGKGCATTTTTTGCTTTTTATTTTYCTTTGCATGTTTTTATCTCCCAGACTGGACTGTTTGGATGTACATACATCACTTTCACCAGTATAAATCTTCTGCAGCCAACACAAGCTCCAAGTGTTGTTTTAGATACAATCTTTATATTTGTGAAGTAGTGGAAGAAGCAGATTATGATTCTCAGAATGTGCAGTGTAGTCAGTTATTGGGTGAAGTGTATAATTTTTGGTGGCAGGCTGCATGCCTTATCTTTGTATTTTTTTCAAGATTCAGCAGCAGTTTACTCCTCACAAAAACATAAATCCATTAAAATGAGGTCAYGGTTTGAGACGTAACTGCAAAAATCTGGTTTTGCAAGAAGTCATAAGATTCTCATTATGAAGTGAAGCCTTGATTAAGTTGACTGTGTACCTTTTCTYCATTCTTAATGAAATAGTGGCAAACACCAAGGTTGGCAACCTTTGCTGATGCTGTTGTGGGGAGACCTAAGTGGGTATTTTAGGCACTACTCAAAGTACTCAGTTGTGTTTAGATTTGTTTGACCGAAATTTCTGGCCTTTGTTTTGTCTCATTTTGTTTCCAGATGATGTGTGAGGTGATGCCAACCATCAGTGAGGCCGAGATTCCCGCTGGGGGAAATGGAGGCCACACTTCAGGTTCCCCATTGCAGTCAGATGCTGATTCCCACTTTGAGCAGTTAATGGTGTCCATGCTGGARGAAAGGGATCGCCTGCTGGAAACACTCCGAGAAACTCAGGAGACACTCGCACTCACCCAGGGCAAGCTGCATGAAGTTGGCCATGAGAGGGATTCCTTGCAGAGGCAGCTCAATACTGCACTTCCACAGGTATGGACGTTTGGAAAGAAAGGGATTTTTCAATGGTTTTTGTGTTTGTGGTGTTTTGTTGGCTTTTTGAATGTTTACTGAAGAGTTTACTCTTCATATTTACTGAATATTTACTGAAGAGTTGGGTTTTGTTAGGGGGGATGAAGCTATCCTGAAGGATTTGTTGGTGCTTGCTCACTTGGAGTAAGATGCAAAAGTAAGGCAAGCAGGGAGGAGCAGTCCTTTCCTCCAGTCCTTTTCCAGTCTCTTGAATTTCTTTGGCTTAGCATAAACGTGTTATCTACATCCTTTTGTTTGAATGATGGACTTAAGAACCAAGAACTTGATGGACTTTCTTGTCTGTAGCACTTTTTCAATGCTGTTTCTAATTGCCTGATTCATCCGTGTGCTTAAGAATGAATACCTGGTCTCGTGGGAGGTGTCCCCGCCCATGGAACTGGATGGTCTTTACGGTTCCTCCCAACCCAGCCTATTCTGCGATTCTGTGAATTCCACAGAGACCATTCTGACAACATTATGGGCTTTGGTTTGAAAATTTGAACACTTGAGGACCTGCTACCTTATGAATGTGTGCTGAGTTGTYGTGGTAATACAGAAGTCTGAGTGTGTGGTTTAGCTTGTTTAGTTGCTTTTGGAAAGATTGGATTTGGTTTTTTGTGGGGTTTTTTTTKGTCCTGTTAGGAGTTCTTAATTAGTGACTTGCAGAGGATGCACATGGCCTGCAGTGCTGGGTTTGTTACATAAGGAACATAGTTAGGATCGGTGATTGGTGTCTGCAGAACTTGTTGGGTTTTATCCATTCTAGTTAAAAATAACAGAACTGAACTTTGAGCATGTTGAGGAGCATTTGGTTCTAGGCAAAGCACAGGCTACTTTCAGKTGCTGGTTAACTGTTAACAGCCTTGTGCTTTTTGGCAAGATGGTTGTTGTCCCAAGCACGTTACAATGATGCTGTTACTTTTTCAAATGTTTACATGTCCTTAAATATTGCAGTTACTGCGTATACCCTTCAAAGCAGTAGTTTGAAATCCTTCTGTTTTGTTGCTGTCATTAYAATGTAATCCCTGTATGACTCTCGGTATGGTAATTGCTGCTGTTAATTACTGAGGGATAGAAACTAAAATGTTACACACGTGTTAATCTCGTTCTGTTACAACGATGAAAATCAGAAAGGAGAAGTTTCCAAGCTTTGCTGCTGCMTGTGTTAAATCATGTGCTGCAGGCAAAAGTCGTTCTTTGTTTTTTTGTTGTAATAATTGCGGCTTCTCCTCAGCCTCTGTGTCAGGTCTGCTGCATTAATGGAGATCATTAACCACTTGCATGACCTGCAAACTG